TGCTCCCCATTTAGCCAGGAACCACAGATGAAGTTCTGCTCTTGACATTTGTTCTTGGTTCCTGGCCAAACAGAAAGAGCTGAAATCAATGCCTACCAACAAGTATGTGTAAGCAGTAGCTGTGCACAAAGATCAGTGCATCAGGATTTTATAAAAAGTCTTGAATAAAAGGAACTTCCACTAATCATTAGAAGAAGAAAAAAAGTAAGAGCAGAGCTCTATTGGGAAACTGCAGAAAAAAGCTAGGTAGAGTGTGATCACAAATCCCTACGAGTGGCCTAATCACCAAGAAGGCCAGACAGAGATCACTGTGGGTCAGAAGAAATGTGAGCTAGACTCTAGACACTGAAGGGAGACCAGGGAAAGGAAAGGACTCCAAGCAGGTGGAATGGCACTAGCAGAAGCTTGGGCAAAGCAGAGTTCATAGTCCAAAAACGACGTTTCTGTCATGAAGAGGCACAAAAAGGAGGTAATACCAGGTGAGTTGATTGGGAACAGAAGAGTGTACACTCCATCCTGTTAGGCAGGAGGAAGTCTCCTCCATCTTGCATGTAACTGACACCGATCAATTAAAAACAATATAAATCTTATTACTATTATTCTAGGCATGATAGTTCACAGAAAAGAAATGAAAACAAAAATGGTTGGGGACTTACACACAGTTTAACAAAAGGAGATTTGGCTTCAAGGGACAATTGACTATGGGGAAAAGCTAGGAAGTATATGAGGAAAAGCAATAAAAGATAAAGGTTATTTTAGCTTCTTTTGTTGTTGTTGTTGTTGTTTGGGGGGCATTGAGACACAACCTTGCTATATAGCTCAGGCTGGTCTTGAACTCATGGTAATCCTCCTGCCTCAACTTCCCAAGTGCTGAGATTACAGGCATCTGCCACCATGCCCAGCTAAAACTCATGTTACATTATGTAGTTATTTTACCTTTTTGTGGTTTACTTTTGTGTTATTTTGTTTTTTGAGACAAAGTCTCTTTCTGTAGCTGAGGCTGACCTTGAACTCACTGCGCAGTTCAGGCTGGCCTTGAAGTCGTGGGATCTTCCTGCCTCAGTCTACCAAATACTGACAACTTAGGTGTGCACCATCATGTCCAGGTAAAGGTTATTTTAGTAAGGCTTGTTTACAAAAACTAATTGCAATGCTGACTTTTGACTATCTATGGCTGAGTTGCTGTTGTTTGCCTGATATGGGATCAGAAATTACCATCAAAAAGAGGATTTTGTGCCTTGATTTCAGGCAGAAAAAGAGTAGAGAACTTTTCCTGCATTTACTGATTCTTAATTGTTTTCAACTCCAAATAATCATGCCAACGTGGCATATTTTGTGGTAGCACATTCTGGATCTCTTCGGTATGTAGGTCAGTATTTGCTGAAATGTCCTCAGTAGAATTCTAGCCTTGTAAACTTTGCTTGACCTTGGCAAAAGCGCTCCCAGCTACCTACCTATCAAGGGATTCACACTGTGCATTAATATGGTGAAGTTTTTGGAAGTCCAGCAATAAAGAAATCCACTTAAATTGCTTTAAAGCTCTATTAAACATAAAAAGATCAACATCATCAGTAATTAAGGAGGTGCAAATTAAAAACACAACACACCTATTAGAACAGCTCACATTGAAAAAAAAAGAAATTGGCAGTGCTGAGTGTTAATGAGTACTTTCAGACACTGTGCGTTGAGTGCAGAATAGGGCCAGAACTTTGGAAAAATGTTTGGAAGTCATTTTAGATAAAATTAAAACTCTGTTAAGCTCGGTGTAATAGTGCATGCCTGTAATCTCAGCCCTTGGGAGGCTGAGGCAGGAGGATCCCCATGAGCTCAAGATAAGCCTGGGCTATATAATGAATTCAAGGCCAGCCTGAACTACATAGTGAGATCCTCTCTCAAAACAAACCAAAACCAAAATCTCTATTATCTTAGTCACTTGGAACTGCTGTAACAAAATACTATAGACTGTGTAGCTTAAAGAACAGAACAGAGATTGATTTCTGACTCTGGAAGCTGGACATTAAAGGGCGAAGGTGTGGTTTCCAGGGTGAGGGTCCTTTCCCGGCTACAGGTGGCCACCTTCATGTGTCTTCAGTCCAGAACATAAGCCCAACCATGAATGCAGCAATCTCCCTCTCAGACACCTAGCCAAATGAAATGAAAATTTATGCGTAACCAAAAAGGAATACAAATGCTTAAAATGAGGTAAGTCCAGTGGCACATGCCCGTAGTCTCCAGAGGCAGGAGAATCGTGAGGCCAGCCTAAGCAACATAACCAGACTATTTCTTAAAAAAAAAAAAAAAAAATTAAAACATTTTATTGATCATTACCCCAAATTAGAAACAATTCAAAAATGACCTTCAACGGGTGAATGGATGTAGAAATTGTGATATATCTATACAGTAGAGTGCTACTCAGCAATAAAAACATAAACCATTGAAACATTCAATGACATGGACGGACAGCATAAACATTAAGGAAAGAAAGTCAGATTAAATAGGCTACATGTTGTGTAATTCCTTTCATGTGGCATCGTGAATAGGAAAACCTGGGAAAACAGAAAGCCAGTAAGTGGATGCCAATTTGGAAGTGGGAGATAACTACCAAGTTTTGGGGGTGAGCAGTCTTTGAGGGGAAGGAAATGTTCTACATCATGACTGAGGTGGTGGTTACGTGGTTGTGCTTCTGAAATTCAGAAGCCTGTCTCTCTGGGGCCTCGGCAGAGGACCGGTGGAGCTTGCCTGGGTCCCCAGCCCCACCCTTCCCAGCCTCAGCAGAGGAACAGTAAGAGACGCAGCTGCGCAGGCGCCTGCAGCACCCCCCACGGCTACCCAAGGCGCCTCTCGCCCCCTGACTGGGCTGGTACCTGGATTCATACTGCAGAGGCACAGGGGTCACGAAGGCCATTGTTCTGAGCTCTAGCCTGTATTGTAATTCACACACTTAAAGGTGATAGATTAATAACTACCATAAATTGTCATTTTTCTAAGCTGTGCTTAAGCGATGCTATTGTGTTGCTGATTGTCTTAAGTGAAATAAATACGACACACATGTGTGAATACCAAATAGTTTCTCTGGTGCGATAAACTAAAAGAGTAAGAATCAAAATGTATAATTGATATTGTGTAATAGAAAGAAAATATATAAAGGTATAGGAGAAATGGGAGGTGTCGGGGAAAGGAAAGAAGGGGAAAGAAAAAAATAATAGAAAAGGAAAAAATGGAAACAGAGTCTCTGTAATAGGGAGGGGTGGAGGGGATGAAGGGAGGGCAGGGCAATGGGGGAAAAATGAGAACCAAGACCTGTCATGTAAAGGTACAAGATCCCCATGATGAATGCAACTGTATCGTGTACCTAAAATGTACCAATAAAGAAAAAAGGGGGAAAAAAGGTTACTTTTAGTGCATATACATGTATGCCAATCATTTAAAACAAGAATAAAAGAAAAATTGACAGAGTGAATAGATGTCAAATAAGTTTTTAAAAAAGCACCTATCCATATCCTGTGGAACTATTTTTACATGATACAGAGTTTGTAAATGGTGTTTGAAACTACAGCTTAGGCATTCACACAACCACACTGGTATCCATCATTATTCATCTACTCCAAAAATATTTAGTGAGTATGTGCCAAACACGTAGTTATAGATGCTGGGGTATGTGAAGGCAAATAAAAATTATAAACAGGAGCTCAGTTTTCCATGTGGAAAATAGGCAAAGAGACTTTTCTCCCTTTTCCTTTTTCTTTCAGAAATGCTTTCTCTGTACTTTTCCCGTGTATTTAAATCTTTTTAATTGATAAATAAAGCCTCTTCACAATTCAAGATGTTGCTCTCTGACCTATGAGCCTCTTGTTTGAAATGTAATCACCAAAGAAATGTAATTCCCAGTTTTCTAGGTGAACATGGGGCTAACTTCAGTTGTCACTTGACTCCAAATTATAAAAATTAACCATAAAATGACTGCTTCAGTATATAAAAGGTTGAGACAGGGTTTCACGTGTAGTTCAGGCTACGTAGTTCAGTAAGTTCAGGAACTCACTATGCAGCCCAGGCTGGTCTGGAACTCACAGTCATCCTCTGGCCTCAACCTTCTGAGTGCTGGGACTGCAGGCATCCAACTGACCCTACACCTGGCTGAAAGTTGAATCCCCAGGAACTTTCCCTGATCCATTGTCCATGGGCTCATCTCTCTCCTCAAAGTCCTCCTAAACTGTCCTTATCCTCCCATTTCACTCTCCACCAAGAAGAGGATTCTTAAGCCTCAATCGTTTGAGCCCTCTTTGAGTTTCATATTCCATGTGGCTTTTACACATATATGCACATTAATAAGTCTTTCTCTTAGCCTAAGTTACTGAACTTTCAGAGGAAATGTGTGCACTACCCCGCAGCCAACTGCTTCTCAAGAGCGTCACATTCTGGTTTAGCATGCAAGACAGCCAGGGACCTAAAAGACGTTTTTGTTAAAAAGCACTGACTTTTCCTTTGGGCCAGTGAGGCACACTGGATAACTCAAAGCAGAATAAAGCTTGACATCACTGTCTTTATTTCATATCTGTCTCTTTAATTACTTTCAACTTTGGGTTATGTCCCTCTTCAGCTCTGCATGTAACTAGGTGAATAGCCTCAAACTTGTCTACTCGAAATTGGTGATGCAAAGTTTATGAGCCTTAAATTTTACCTAACCCATCTCATTCCCTTTCAAGATCGAGGACCCCAGGATAAGAGTAACTAAACTATTTTAACATTTATAGGGACATTCAACCGCCAGCTTTTACAACTGTCCCAGGTCCCCTGGAGTGGCACTTACAAGTGTCCAGCCATTGCCATAAAATTACAGTCAGTTTGGATTCCAGAAGAGCTACAGACAGAGCACCCATGATGAGATCAGCACTTAAGTAGGAACAGTAAACCCTCAGGAACCAGATTTTTCCCTTAAGCAGTAATTCCACAATCACCTCACAGAACCACAACTGAGTTAAGCATCAGCCAGCCTCACCTACCTCAGCAATCCCGTTGCTTCATTCCGTTGCTAACAGGCCAGTCTGACTTTCTCCAGGAGAGTGTGCCGCTTCAGCTGTTTCCTTAAGCTGAAGCCCCTTCCAGCTTTCTCTTCCTCCTCATCACAGGCTTTGCCTATGTTCTCGTACTTTCTGGCCTGGATTTCAATTCTTATTTTCACTCGGTGAAAAGATTCCACATATGATACCAATGCCCACTAAATGACAAAATCACTTTCTCTACCTTCTACTCATATAGAGACGTTTGATGCTTTGGGGGAAGATTTTGACTTAATTATTTCCCAAAAAGACAACAGCAATAAACAAAGAAGCAGCAGCTTGCACTGGAGGATTTAGATGTTACATAGAGAAAGGCAATAAGAAATAATTTCACATAGAGTCTTAACAACAAATGCTACAGGGAAAAATGCAGGGAAGATCAGAGAGCAACAGGAGTAGGAATTTATAATTATTAACAGGGACAATAGGGGAAGAAAAGGTGATTTTTTTTTTCATTTGCTTTTGTGATTTATTAGCTGAGGAGAATCCCTGTAACAAAAGACAGGCTTACAAGAGAAAAACAAACAGACATTATGAACACAAATACCTTATCTATGCATAGGAGACATCCAGAAAAAATGAGTAAATCTCGGAAAGGTGACTTTAAATATCACTACAACACAGACAAAAGGAGGTTGAGGGATATCTATGGGAGATTGCCCGGAAAATCATCAAAAACAAGGGCATGATTTCTTATGTATGTCTTTGTCACAGTCTCCTCCACTGGTAAGAATCTCTAGTCTTTTAGAGTCATTCTTCTTTTCCTGCCTTGGAGAAAGACTCACGCGGACATTTTCCCTAAAGATGCAAATTTCCCCTGTAGAAGAGTAACTGCTAATCTATTTTGTGAACTTTTCCAGTGTCTGGAGTTGCACAAAATAATCTTTATGCCACAGCGGCATACTCTGAGGTGGAAAGTCTCATCTACAATGGTCAGAGAAGGTCTCACTGAGAAGTTGAAAGTCAAGCAAAATTGTGAGAGATGAGGGAGAAAGTCGCATATGGAAGAAGTATGGTCTGGGTAAAGGGAGAAACAGGCGCAAAGTCCCTGAGGCAGATACATGCTTGATGAAAATCCTTGGACCAGAGCATTTAACATCTGGAAGCTAAACACAGTTTTGTAGATTATTTCTGCCATATAAGCCTGTTTTCCTCCCCTATTAAATGAAGCCATACAGCAATAAGGTGGCCAAGATCTGCAGCAGTTTGAGCCTTAGGCTCCAAGCACTCAGACTCCACTGTCTCATCTACTTTAGGCACCGCCACTTACTTTTTTGCCCATGTAGCCTATTTGCCATGTTCACAAGCCCAAGACTTCCTCTTTCTCTATCTACACAAAGTAACTTGGAGGAACTTGACCTTAGGGGTTGATGTTTTTATTCGTCCTCAACTGCAATAGTAATTTAATCTCATGAGCATCCTTTCTAAAAAGACTCAGTAATCTTGCTCATCGAAATCAGACTCATCCCTTCATCCCTCAGTGGCTACCTCAAGCAGTCTAACACATATTCTATTTCCCCATTCTAAGATTTCATCGGTTGTAGGATGTTCCATCAACTTAGTAACAGCCTTTCAGTAGGAGGGGGGGAAAAGAAGGAAGATTAGAAAAAAGGAAAGAGGAAGGAGAAAAGAGGACAAGGCAGATGGAGAATATCTTAGTATTTTTTTATCCACTCAGTTATATATTACTTTTATATCACAGTTTACCTCTAGCCCACATCATGATCAGAGACTAAATATTCTTCCAGATCATTTCGAACACCTGCTGTTTTCCACAGCCTTATGGAGATGTCACACATTTGAGTCACGCTTAAGAGCTTGGCCTCTTGAGCACGTTTAAGATTCACAATGTAATTTGAGGGCATCATGGAGAATCGTAGTGGTTTACTGACATTTTCTCTTTGTCTAAACTTATAATTTTGTTTTCCTTTTTAAAAGATAATTATTAAGGAGCTTCTTATGAACGTCACTAGAAGAATCTGATAGATTTTGGAGCCTGAATAATAAGGTTTTTTAATAACACATGAAGAAGTCATACCAATTTCCTCTAGCTTTGGAAATTGTATTGTTTATTCACTACGATGGAGAAAAGATCAATAGCTCAATGCTTGGAATATAATATCCACACGTGGGGACTTTTGTTTCAATACAGTAAAGCAGTGTAATATTTGTGAAGACATTTTAAGTGGCAACTAGAGACATGAACCGAAGTTAACAGCATGATGCCACCAGTGCAAATAACAAAGCAGAAATGGCACGAACACACTCTTGTGAAGCTGGGCTGAGATCTGCGTGGCCAGAGGCAACACCAGGCAAGTTAGCACCTCACTCCTCTGCTCCGTAGCTGGCAGAAGTTTTTGACATCCCAGAATCATAAATGTGAAGATGTGAAGAAATAAAGTAAGACTAAAGCCGAAGGAAATAGGGTAGTTTTCAAGTCACAAAGCCTTAAGAATTTGGTTTAGCCTGCAGAGCTGGGGCAGACGCCATCAGAGCTGCCTGCGGCCCGCCTTTGTCGCATCACAACTCCCCCTCCAGCTTCAGCCCTAGATCCCTAGTGATAAGAGAGTTCAAATCGCAGCTTGGAGAGAAAACCAGTCTAAAAAGGAAGGAGACAACAGTTAGGCTTATTTTAAGCTTCCTGCCTGGACTGCCATTAGGCTAATTTATTCTAGATCAGAGTTCATTTCCTGAAGGTTCATGAACTAATGCGTATTTTCATGGCTGTGCTAAGAAAGAATGCCTCTCTTTTCTGGGGCCTTGGACCTCATCCTAATCAGTAATGGCATATAGCTATTGTGACATACCGACCTGAATCAAATAAAGGAATTAAGAACTAATCCTGTAAAAGTATTTTGCAGTTTTGTATGTTCATGTGTGTGGTTATTTTTGCTTGTGGTGAGTTTTGTTCCTTCTTTGTGATAAAGTAATAAAGCAAACAACCTTTTTATGGCAGTTTAAAATTCTCACACACAAAATCCCCTCCCTTCCTGTCTTACCAGGAAGAACTCTGCTTTGCTGCCTCTGAAACAATTCCCTGATAGTTCTTTAAAAGGAAAAGCCCCTTAATCTGAAAATATGTGGTAAGAATCTACAGAAAAGGGCAAAAGCCAAACCAAACCAACTTGCAGGTGTCCTGAATGAGTTGGCAAAGCTCTGGAAATCACCTTGGGGAAGCTCAGTGTCCTTCACCCACAGCCAGTTATGCATGTGTTATGCATGCCACTGCCCTCCGTGGTGAATGCAGCATCAAAAATGCACTGGAAACAAGAGACAAAGGCAGGACACTGGGCCTCTGCTCAGCCCTTACCTTAGCTGCACTGCCTGTGCGGTACTTGCTTGTGGGGACTAAAGAGAAACATCTTTGTTAAGACAGCTAGAAATCCTTTCATCTCATCGGCATGCAGGCTTCCAGACAGTAGAACTTACACATGCACAGTATTTTCTTCCCTTCTCTTTTTCTTTCTTTCTTCTCCCCACCCCACCATCTCTCTCCCTTCCTTCCTTCCTTTCTTTATTTCATTTTGTTTTTGTGTTTCAAGGTACATAAGCAATCCAGCCTGGTCTTGAATTTGCTGTATATCCTACACTGGCCTCAAACATGGGCTTCTCCTGCCTCAGCCTCCTAAGTATGGGGGTTGCAGGATTGTGCCACCATTCACAGCTTCAGGGTGATTACTTTTATAGGAGAAAGCCTCATTTTTTGACACTGCTGAATGTCTCTATGCAGCACAGTGAGGACCCGTACTTCTCTATGCACTATTTATCCTGCTAGCACATCAGCCCTTCGATAGGGAGCCACTACTAAAAACGAAAAAAAAAAAATGCATTTAGAATATGTTTAAATAAAAAGTCATCATTGCCTCATAGGAATATGTAAATTCACCTTCACATCTACTTACATTATTAAATAATTATTCTTTAGCATTGCATTCTTAAAATAATAACTAACATTTAAGATAGATGCTGACACCCCTTCAGCAGGTTTTGTCTATATGTTTTCAGGTTTTCTTGTCAGTGACAACCACAGCCCCCTCCCTGTGGGATGGCAAATGTCTACAAATATTTTGTGCAAACTACATATATGTCATCAACTTCCTTGAGAATCAAAAAAGTGGTAACAATTTTTCACTTAGTATGCACTTAAAAAATTTTTTCACTGGGCCAGGGATTTAGCTCAGTGGTGTCACCACCTGCCTTGCAAACATAAGGTCCTGAGTTTAGATTCCTGGTACCAAAAAACAAAACAAACAAACAAAAAATCTCAATGTTGCCAAAACTGTTTATTGTAAAAGAAAAAGGAATTGCTAAATAAACAGTTGTGGCAAACATGCTACAATAAATAACAAAACTATTGTAGTACCAGAATTCTGTACTTGTATTATGTTCTAGGGAAGGATTTCTTAGCTTTGTTTTCTGTACATATTTTTATATGCGAGTAGCCTTTCATTTCCCATGGACCCTGCTAAATAGTGATATGATGACATTGTACATCAGACTGGGGGAAGCACGGATCACAGACACACCTAATGGCAGTGAGTGTCATGCAGAAGTAGGGGTACACACGGCCTGTCTAACCAGGCCTAGGGATCTGAAGGATCTGTCTATCTCTATACACTTCCCAAAAAGCACATTTCATTTATAATCATCCCACATGCTGTGCTTTAAAGGGAGATTATAGTATGGTGTGTCTGGAAAAGTTCAGGGAAAAGAACAGTAGCACTGGCCAGGTCCTGGATTTAATCACACATTAAAGTGAGGACTGATTGGCCTGCACACATATCTTACATCACCAGATAAGATCCTAGCACAACACAGAGTAAAATCAGAGGTGTCTTGGATCTATCCAGGTTAATTTAATGCAATCACTAATATGAATATATGATCAATTTGTCAAAATGATCCATGCGCATTTGGAAAGAACACACATTTTCTATATATATTATATTCTACCTTATTACTGATTAAATTACTTCCACTCATATCTTTATTTTCCTTCCATCAAC